ACTGCCTTGCACTTTTCCAATATGCATATTATTCGAAAAAGAAGCGATCGAACGAACGGTGGAAGGGGGACCTACAAGTGGCTAGTCGAAGGAAATTCCCCCGCTCCGTTCTGTGCTGTTTCATCTGCTTTAGCATGGTTTCATCAACCATAAACTCTGCCCTTGCATTTGATGTGGTTCAGCGTCAACACAGCCGCTCTGGCGACCAAGTATTCGTGTCTCATACGATGTTTTCGGAAACGGCGCAGGTGATTGGCTACGCCATGGGTTGCCTGTCGGCACTTTTCTACCTTTTAGGTCGTGTGATGCAGCTGAATGACAACATCAAGCAAAAATCAACGCAGGGAGTGTCGATCGTCACCTTCTGGCTGATAATCGTCGCCAATGCCACTTACGGTATCTCAGTTTGCCTCGGTGGCTCCGGAGTCGATTATTACGTTTTGCATTTGCCGTGGCTCGTTGGCAGTTTCGGTTGCATCTTCATGGACGCGGTCGTGATGTTTCAGTACTATTTCGTGTACAGCACCCGCTTTAGTTCCAAGGTTCAACCACGCAGCGACGGAACGTCCTGCTGTAAGAACGCTTTCTGAATGCGTCGCGCTTTTTGCTTCAGAAGACGACTTCCAAACCAATGCTTGCTTATTCGTTTCTGACTATGTGGCTATTAATTTCGGTTCACATCTGACAAAAGGCTATTTGGATCACGGGCAAAAAAAACAATTTTCGTTGCCGCTCCTGAAAAAAACCGAGCAGCATCACAGTGATAAAATTTCATCGTACATTTTTCAGGAGCATATAGGAACAATGACCTGTCTGTTAACTGTTTGTTCAGACCTTGAATCAGGTATCTAAAAATATGTTTTTCTAGAGTTTTCACTTACTCTGAAATTAAACATTTTTCGAATTAATGACAGAACTTCCGGTGATATCCCTGCGGCTGAAAAGAATTTACAACAGTATAATTCGTCATAACGCATAAATTACTTGCATACCTTACAGGATGTCAAATGAAAAATGTCTTCTTGTCCACTAAACAAGAACGAATACGTTCCGCTCGAAATGTTTTGCTGTTTTCTAAAATTTATTGATAACGGACTCGGAAATCTCACCGATTATGAGTACGGATCTGGGAAAACTTCAAAGGGGAGAAAAATTCTATTCATTGCCAAATATCGGACACAGTTACCCATGGAATGGGATGATTCAGCGAGGCCGTTTCTACAAGGAAAGTTTTGGCGCAGACTGCGAGTCGTTACCAACTTGCAGTTCTGTGCAGCGTGTCTGATTCTATATGAGTGGACTGTGGTCATTCCGATCAACTGCGAAGACCAACCAGCTTATCTTATATATCTAGAAGAAGTCTCCATGATCACAATGTAAAACTGCTGTCAAACTAATGAATTTCTAAGATTCTAAGATTTCAATAGATGTTCATTATTTATACATTAATATCTCTCAGTGAGTGCACAACGAAATATCTGTCGAACTAGTTGACAGATTGCGCAATTATTTCACCAATTTAAATTTGTAAGCATAATTGGGTTGAAAGTCTCGTTTTCATGGAAGAAAAACGAGCTGGTGTACAAAGAAACTTTATCTATGTGGCAAAGTTTTATATACAATATATAAAATTATTGTGCCATTTCGTGGTTATGCGCTAAGCCACGAAGGATAGTCATTCACAATGGATATTATCCTCTGGTCCGCATCCCGATATTTCTTCAACTTTACCGGGGAAGGTAGAAAAATGAGGTCATAAAATAAAACCCAAAATCTTACAGTTTCCCATAGATATATAAATTGCTGGGTTGGTTATTACAGTTAATCGGGATGGTCGCACTCCTATCATAATGAATCAAACGCTTTGCACGTTGATAAAGCCTGTCGATCTGCTCCGAAATAGCCATTCTCTGGACAACCTCTACTTAACCGGGAGAGCAATCGAATCATATCAAAGTGCTGACAGTAGATATCCTTTTTGTTAGGGAAAAGAAAGGGATTTCTCATTCCAAGCCAAAGAGCGCCTATGGTTTCAAATTGCCCAAGGTGGTGATAGCAGTTGATAAATGGCTGTGATGCTGGCTGCGCAACGAGTGTTCACTCGAGTTTGTCACTCAGTCACTCGGCCTGGCGGGAGTTCAAAGGAATATCCGAATGTTACTGAAATATTGCAAAACCTGCAGATAATATTCCATTCAGAACCGCGGAATATTAAACAAAGCGAGGGACAGAACTAACTGTGGAATTTAGGTTTGACAATGGTGCTATTGCGATCCCTCAAATCGTGAAGATCTCCCGGGAAGCTGTTCATGGCCTAAGTTGAATAATAAAACCAAAAGACAATAGAGAACGGTAGCCCACACGATTTAGTTGATGTCTATCTATGAATAATCCCTGTTATTTCATAGTAAGTGTAAATGTAGCATTTGTGTAAACACGTCGCCATGCACAAACGATGAAGAAAGCTGCTGCCAGCCCTAAACAACATGGAAGTCCACCCCACTTCTAAATGGAGTGACTTAATTTGCGAA